GGTCGTGCTTCAGTCCCAATCCGACAGTGGGTTAGGAAAACTAGTATTCCGGCGTTGAATGTTTCTCCTGTTAACAATTTGCTTGGTTTGGAGAATGTAGGTTCTCAGTTTGTCTTAGAAGCCAGGAGAGTGATAGATGTGTCACACTCGGAGCTAGCAGAGAAAGAGAACGAGTCACGGGTTGTGACTGATGAGTTGAAGCTCAGTGGGAGCTTCAACGGGCCTTCAGATAACTGAAGAGAAGGCCGCTGCAACTAGTGGAAAATGAGGATTACAAGAGTTACAGATGATGAAGACTAAGGGGCGTTGTTCGAGCCTCCAAGTGGGAGATTGTTGGGCGAATTGAGTGTGGAGGCTTGACCAGGAAGGGCAGCCAGCCCTAGTCTTGGTTCGACCCATATGGCGGTAAATTAGGTTTTTAATTTAGCCGGCCCTAATTCTCTATGTGGGCTTGGGCCTAACTTGGGGATTAAGTTTTCAACCCTAGTTTAGTCTTCATAAATAGGGGTCTCTGTACTTGTAATTCTGTGAGCACCTGGATAATAAAAACCTAGTTGCAAAGTGGATTAGGTCAGCCGACCGAACCACTATAAATCTTGTGTTCCATTTTCTCCGTTTTGATTTTTGTTTTGTGTGTGTTCTTGTTTGGTTGTGGTTTGCTATTCAGTATTCATAGATACCCCAACAAAAAGAAGAGCTAGCCACCTAGTGTCGACACGTCAATGGTCAAAAGTTGTCAAATATAATTGGAAAGCGCTGAGATTCTACCTCCCCTTCTACTTTACTACCTTTTGATGGGTGCAGCAGCCTTGGCAACCTGCCAAACAATTCAATCTATCACCATGTAATGCATTTAAAGAACACATTTTTAGTGATGGTTATGCTTCTCTTCACATTTACCTTCAGTTGAAATATTTAACAGTTTTATCAGAAAAAGTTCAGAAAGGAATTTTAATATTTAAATTTCAGCTGATAAATTTTGGTTTACTTGGCAGGATTTGAGAGGCAAGATAGTTATTCTAGATTTTTGGACATACTGTTGTATTAATTGCATTCATGTGCTGCCAGATCTGGGATTTCTAGAGAAAAAGTATAAAGATATGCCAGTAAGACTACTTTTTCTTGATTAATCTTTCATTCAGGTGGTTCCATGAGTTACTTCTTGATTTACAGGTTGCTCCTGATTTGTACATATCAAGCTACTAATATATAATGCATTCTTTATCTAACTACCAAATTCTCTGAACTTCTATATCTATAACATTTGACTGAACTATTTATCCATCTATACCACTATATCAATGTAAAGTACTAATATATAATGCATTCCCAGTCTCCTCCATGTTGTTCTTTGAAACTCTATGTCTATAAGACTATAAGATGTGACTGAGTCAGTGTCCATCCTAAGTTATTAACTTGTGATTATCTTAGTCATTATAGCTGTTTAATGTATGAACATTTATGTGCAGAAATGGAGCAGAGTAAGTGCTACTTTAACATTTAACTAATTATAGATCTATTTTCTCCTGATTTTTTTATTCTTTATTTGAAAGGAAACCTGGATTCAGATTCTGGAAAAAGTGGCATAGAAATTAGAAACTAAGCAAGCTCATATATTCCACATTGCCACCTGTATTTCTTTTCATGCTTTGCTTAGAAGTTTAAATCTGTGATAAGTTTCTTTATTTGTTCCTTACTAGTTACAACAAGGTTTTTGTATGGCTAGGGTATAGCTTCACAATGGGTTATTTCTTGATGGTGATGGGTCCAATTAGTTTTTGCATCATTAGGTGTGAATATGTAATTTTGTGTGTGATGATAACAATTTTACATCCAAGAAGGAAAAGGGAATGCACCCGAAAGTGTAAGGACCAATGCACACTGTATTCGATCTGCATTTATTTGGAAAAGAACTTGAATATTGTGTTTGAAAGATAGACTTGAGGGCACCAAATAGGCAAGTATGCACATTTTTAATGTTTATAGGAATGTTTTATGTCTGTATTTTGTTTTGGGGGGTGGGGTAATCTAGGAAAATTAACTAGTGAAGATGGTGTCAAGTCGAGCACTTCCCTGATTACATTTTACATTGTTGTGATTAGGTTTATTGTACATTGTTAGTCCTGGTCAAATTTTCACTTATCAATTGCTGCAAGTTGTGGTTCAGAGGAATCTTTTGGTTCATAGCCTCACCCTCTATCACACGTTTTGTTATTTTGTGTGGGCAATAAATGTGTGTAAAGACTTTGAATATTGTGGTTTCTTAAGAAGGAAAAATGAGGGAAAAAATTAGTATTATTTTGTGTAGGCTCTGGATGGGGAAAATATTCAGCATACATTTATCAAATATATCCAAATGCTTTTTTTGCCTCTTTACTTTGTACAATAAATGATTGAGCCAAATAGATGCTTCATAAATGGTACTCTTTCAGTTTGTTGTCGTGGGAGTGCATTCAGCAAAGTTTGACAATGAGAAAGATCTAGAAGCAATTCGCAATGCAGTGTTGCGCTATGAAATCACTCACCCAGTAATTACGCTTTCTATTCTTATTTCATGTTACGTTTTTGTATTAACTTATATCCGCCCCTTTACACATTAACTTTGTGGTCCCTTTGCATATCTAGGTTGTTAATGATGGAGAGATGGTTTTATGGAGAGAACTAGGTATAACTTCGTGGCCCACCTTTGCAGTCATTGGGCCAAATGGAAAGCTTCTTGCACAAGTAGCTGGTGAAGGTCATAGAAAGGTATATAATCAGTCTTCAGATATCTACTCTACTCTTCCTAGTAATATGCCTCCAATAATTGCATGACCAAATTAGTGTGAAGCCAAGAACAGAGTGACCATAATTGGCATGGTGATAACTGTGGTGATGACCCATTTTCATGTGGTACATTTATGGCATCTTTACCAGGGTTCTTAAGACGCCAAGGCGAGGCAAGGTGCCGATATACCTTCATATCGCCTAGGTGACTAGGCGCACGCCTAGGCAACCTATATATGTGTGTGTAAACATACTCTTTATATATACTTTATTTGAATAAGTTAAACATAATATAACCCCAAATAGTATAAGGCACACCATATGCAATTAATATATTATTATAAATGGATAACAAATAGACTTGAAGAATGAAATATAAAATTTGGAAAAAAAAAATTGAACTTACTGTGAGTAGACAATAAGGCGACGCCTTGCTTCAAAAAAAAAAAAAAGGCGACGCCTAGGCGTGAGGCGAAGGTAAGGCGACAGTAAGGCGATGCCTAGGCAAGCGCCTTAATACCTAGAGGTTTTCTAGGGCGAGGCGAAGAGTAAAGGCATCCAAGGGATAGTGCCTTGCCGCCTTATCGCCTAAGCTTTGCCTAAGCGGCGCCTTAGCAACTATGGTCGCTACATGAAGCAAAATTAAACAACTAAATCTCGAGATACGGGTCTCGAATTCAATCACGAAAAATGTATTAGAGTTGAATACTCTGTAACCGTATTGTAACAAAAAACACAACCAAAAAAGTTTTCGAGTAGTAGTATATAAACGAGTAAATTATTCGGATAATACAAAACAATAAAAAAGAAACATGTTGTATTCATTTTGTAAATCTCATTAACCTCCTAATTTACTCTTCGCGCTTTTCCGAAATGGTTTGACACAAATCACACAATTGGTTCCACTTGAGCTAAAATTTGGTAAATTGAATGCATTGTACATCTTTTCATTAAGAACCATGTCAAGAGTGAATATACCATACCTGAAGTGAGTATTAAGGCTCATTCTTTAGTGATTTTAGAAATGAGGTTCTTTATATCTTGATAAGTTGTTCTTCTTTATTATTTACTGGCATGCTATCAATTATAATATTAATAGCTAGTCACTGAATTATATTTATTGGCTTCTACCAAGGACCTGGATGACTTAGTTGAGGCGGCACTTCAGTTTTATGGTAGAAAGAAGCTATTGAATGGTAGCCCCATTCCATTGAAATTGGAGAGAGACAATGATCCTCGGTTTTTAGCATCCCCTTTAAAATTCCCAAGTAAATTGGCAGTTGATGTCCTCAACAATCGGCTTTTCATTTCAGACAGCAACCACAACAGAATAGTATGCTCTCTCTCTCTCCCTCTCGTATGTGTGTATCTTGGCTTGCCATACTCTTTCTTAGGCTTTAGGCTCTCCCCTCCCAAATAAAAGAGATTAATTGAAAAGTTATGGTTTATTTAGGGAAGGGATTTTTGTCATGTGTGGGAGGAGGCCAAAAGTTATATTTGGGTTAATGAGACTTACTTGGGACTACTTTTGACCCATGTGATATGTGAAGAGATATCGTAAATTATTCTCCTCATAATTGAGGTGGGTTTGGCCAAGGTAAAACACAAGGGGTTAACCGTTAACCTCATTCCATGTTTTATTTATCAAAGCTAAATGAAGTTAAGGTGGAAAGTCTTACTTTTGGGTGAATTTGGCCTCAAGGGGAATTTTGGGTCAAAAGGGTGAAGACTTGGTTATTAAGTGTTTTAGAGTGTAGGAGTTCAAACCTAAATGGATCATAACACTTAGATATCAACGACTTAACTTCCTTTTGTTCAAGGGGCATGAACTCAGTCTGTCTAGGATTACCCGATACTTCTTTCTCCGAGGCATTTTTTAGTAGAGTTTGACCTCGAGTTCAAAAAGATCGTTTGAGTTATAGTACATGCTAAGTTCGCAAATGTTGAAATGTAGCAGAAACTCCATAAGGTAAATCTTGTAAGCATTATCATTGACCTTTGCTAGGACTTCAAACGAACCACCGGCTCGAATATTAGCTAAACCTTACGTTTGGTTTGAAAATGCACTTTGTGACGGTGTGTCCATACAAGATCTCTGAGTTGCAAATGGATGCTTTTTCTTGCTTTATTGATGCATGCACTTACACTTTCATTTTCCTTCTCATGCTTCTTTAGAATGTTGTTGTGACGATCATAAATTTTCATGACTTGCTTTTATCATTCCCAACTACATTTTCTTTGGGCTGTGATAAGTTCAACTCCTAAAAGTGTGACCAGGTTTGAAATATAGATAATCATGTAAAGCGAACATCAAGTGGGTTTGCTCAATTCCTATGGTATGCAAATTCAGTGTATCGTAGTATGTCTTCCCAACATCAGATGCTCTTGTTGACTAGGTCTAGGACCCATATATCTGACCCTAGAGTTCGATTGGTCACTTCTGTTTGACCTGTAGGTGACTTGAAGTACTAAAGTTCAATTTGGTTTGCATTCTGTGCCATAGACTTGGCCAAATGAGGTTATAAAACTTAATATCTTGATATGAAACCTTGCTCCTTGAAAACCATGATAGAGTCTTTGTTGTGTTGAGTCCTTTGGTAGACTGGTAATAAAATCAAGGCTATGTTCTCGCATTCGCAATGAGGTAAATGGAGAGGCATTTGTAAACCTTGAGCTAAGGAATGACTATTATGCCTTCTTGAGCTTATTTGAAGCAATTTTTTTCAAATAGGTTAGTACACGGATTGAACACGTAGTATTTTAGAGGAAATGGAGTTTGAGAGGATTTTATGGAGGGAAAGCGTTTAGGGGTACGTAACATCTGGCTTTGATACCAAATGATATATCTTGGCCTAGAATTATACATGTATATAAAGAAGATAACTATGGTATGGAAAGAAAGTTGATGGAAATATGAAAGAAAAGGGAGGATAGGATAAACGAAAATAAATTGGTTTAAGAGATTTACACTCTTAACTCACCTTACGACTTTTTATCTACTTTGCAAGAAAATTATCACAACTTAATTGTAAAAAGAGACTCCCAATACATACTTTTATGTAACCAACTTAAGAATATTTATTAGGATAGGATGAACATCACTTTGTGGAGAGTTGTGGGACATGCCACTTTAACCCCTCTCCACGTACCTCGCTGCCCATTAGAGGATGTAGACCTTGATTTTATTACTGGTTCACCATTGACTACCTCACCGCATGAAAGATTCTATTATGGTTGTGGTTGATCGCTTCTCAAAGATGGTATTTATGATACTTCACAAATTACTAATGTAAAGAGTATATTCCGGGGATATTTTTAAGCTTCATAATGTTCTAAGGAGCATGGTATTTTTTTTAATCGAGATATCAAGTTTCTTAGGCATATGAACTTTAGCACTTTGAGTTACCAGAAAAAAGATGGTCCAGGGGAAGTGACCAATCCAGGTCTAGGGACTTTTCTATTGGTCTCAGTCAACAAGAATATCCAGCATTTTGAAGACTTACTACCACACGCTGAATTTGCATACAACATGACCCTAAGCAAAACCACTAGATGTTCAACGTTCATTACTGTGTATGGTTTGAACTTGTTCACACCTTTGGACTTTGAACCTATCACAATCCAAACAAAATTAAGTTTGGAAGGAGAAAACTGATCAAGAGAATCTAGGATCTCCACAACAACATTCAAGAGAAGATCAACAATGAAAATGAGCGTGTGAGTGCAGTAGCACACACATCAACAAAGCAAGAAAAAGTGTCTATTTCCAACCCAGAGATCTTATCTTGTATGGGTACACCTTTGCAAAGAGCGTTTTCCCACCAAATGCAAAGCTGCGTTGCTGCCCCGAGCCGATGGTCTGTTTGGAGTCCTAGCAAAGGTTAATGGCAATGCTTACGAGATTGACCTCCAGGAGAATGTTGAGTTTCTGCTATGTTTAGCGTTAGCAACTTTAGCCCATTTTACATATATACCAGGTCGATATATATCATAGTATAACTAATAACTCTAATGTTTTTTATTATCATGTTAGCCCATCTCAGTTTATTTACTTAATGTCTGCTTAATCTGTGAGTGGGACTACCTAATCTTGGTGGCAAACTGTTTCTTTTATGTCTATAACACAGGTCGTTACTGATTTCGAAGGGAACTATATTTCTCAAGTTGGTAGCACAGGGGAAGAGGGTCTTCGTGATGGTGGTTTTGATGAGGCGACTTTCAATCGACCACAGGGTTTGTCTTACAATGCAAAGAAAAACTTCCTTTATGTTGCAGATACTGAGAATCATGCATTGAGGTAATGCTGCCTAGGAAATTTTATTTTGTTACATAGAGAAATTATGTTACTAGCATTTTAGTAGATCACTAGTTAAAAGTTTCATTATTGACAATGTTTTACTGTTTTAGCTTTGGGTAAATAATGGACTAATCAAAATGCCACATTAAACCCCATTTGCTCTTGACTTTAAAATTTTGCCTAGAACACAATAGAGTTCCGATATTATTGGGTTTGCTAATTTTTATTGTTGTTGTCTTGTTGATAATTCTTGAATAATATAGATTATTTTCAAAATTGTGTCTTGCATTTATTAGGCGTGCGCCTTTTTGTGCCTTACATCTCAACGTCATAGGACTTTTGCGCCTTGATTGCGGCTTACTATTTTGACTACCTTGATTATAATTTATAGCCGGTATAGGTAATAATGGGCAATGATGTTGTAGTGTTGTTGAATGTGATCATTTAGATATAGTAAAAATGTTGGTTTTTCTGGGACTGAGGATTTTTTTAATCTCTGGTTGAGAGTTAAGACCACTAAGCTAACCTCTTCAATGCATTACCTATCACTGTTATTACTACCTTAAAAAAGTATTTGGCGTTCTTTTTCACACATAATATGACTTCAAAAAGTAAATACTTCTTTAAAAAAATGTATATACTTTATTTTACCCTTTGTTTTTCTTTTTGTTTTCCTTTTGCATTTTGTGCTATTTACTGGTCTTTATTTTATTTTCCTTCATAGGCATTTATTGTTTTGCATTGTCTATAAAATTTGAAGTAATCTTCATAAATGTACTTGCAACTTTTCTTGTAAGCAGAGTCATTGATTTTGTGAATGAGACAGTAAGGACCCTTGCCGGGAATGGAACAAAAGGTTCTGATTATGAAGGGGGAGGAGCAGGAACTACTCAGGCAAGATTTTTACAATTTTTAATATCAATGATATAGATTAAAATATTTAATCCCGTGAATTTGAGTACATCATGATGATGTAGTTTACTACTGCATCTTTGGATGAATTTTTTTAATGAGAGGTTTACTGAATTGGTGTTTATCTAAAAAATTGTGTTCCCGGTCTTTATTTTTAGGTTCTTAATTCTCCATGGGATGTATCCTTTGAACCTGAGAGTGAGATTGTATACATTGCAATGGCTGGCCTGCATCAGATCTGGGAGCATTATACATTAGATGGCACAACAAAAGCTTTCAGTGGTGATGGTTACGAGAGAAATTTAAATGGGACAAGGTGATGTATGTTCATATTTCATAAGTACATGTTTTTGTTTCAGAATACCTCACATCATGGTGATTTTAGAGTAACATAATTATATTAATGTTATTTTCTTTCCATGGAATGTCTTTTGACTTTATTTTACTGTCATTAATGATTTTACGCTAAAGAGCTTCTGAGTATCATATTGATTGGTATGGGTGATGGTAGCACACTATGTCATTTACTTAGTGCTACTCAGCTAGAAGGGCACTACTACCAAATAATTACACATGTTATAGGATTGCAATGTATATTTCTTAGTACTAGGATACACCTTGCTTTTGTACCGCCCCGTGCCATGACTGGACTTCAGCCCAAACAGCTGCCCAGCGTCTCTCTACAAGGGTTGGACCTGCCCATCTTTTGTCCTTGGACACTCAGCTCCTACGATATGCCTACCTTATCATAAAATGGATCTTGCATCTTCTTTCCAAATCTGCCCTGGCCCCTACAATCAGTATAGCATGATGATCAGGACCCATGCAGTAACAGATCGATGGAAGTAATTTAAATAATGTTTAGTCATGAGCATTTTATCATATTATGTTAGAAATTAGATTGGCTGTTTACCTGGACTGTTTAGCACTTCAGCCCATCAGTTTTTTGGTACAACAAGGGTTCCCAGTAAAATTCCTGCTCTTTGATCATCTCTACTGTTTTCCTTACAACTGCAGTCTGTGAAATACTGCCAAAATGAAAGTTTTATGTAGATTGCAACTTTTAAGTGCTGATTCAAATTATTCTGTGCTGATTCAAGTCGTTATTTGCACCAAAATGTGTGCTGCACATTTGCTATACTTAGTTATAAATTATAATACCTACTCAGAAGCTAACACCCTCTGCCCTTTCAATTCATTGGCTCAGCTCCAGAAACACATCATTTGCACAGCCTTCTGGGATTTCATTATCATCCGGTAATACTTTGGAATAAATTAGGGTTATAGTTTTCATAAACTATTTAAAATTTCTACTTTTATCTAGTCATATATTTCTATCATGTTTTGGTATTTTATAGACCGAAAGGAGGCATATGTTGCTGATAGTGAGAGTAGCTCCATTCGAGCAGTTAATCTAAGGACAGGAGGTTCACGATTGCTTGCTGGCGGGGACCCAAATTTCTCGGACAACTTGTTTAGGGTATTTCTATGATCAGTCAAGAGAACAAGATTTGTTTTTCAATCACTTGTTCTTTTCCAAGATTGTCATACGACAAATCTCTTTAATGTATTAGTTTCAACTTGCAGTTTGGAGATATTGATGGAATAGGTTCTGGCGCACTTCTTCAACACCCATTAGGTGTTTTATGTGGTGAAGATGGCCAAATTTATATAGCAGACTCTTATAATCATAAGGTAATTACTACCTTTAAGTATAAAATCTCTTTTACAGGCAGGCAGTAAACTAGCTCATGCAGTTCTGAAGATCATGACTCAGAGAAATCCATGATGCCATTCTCTTTGTTTCTTGTTCATGGTGTAGTTACAAATGTATTTATTTTCATGTTATATCATAATTGCCATTATAATCATCACCACAACCTTTCTAATTCTTTTTCTTATTCTTATTCATACTTATATTATAATCAAACCGGATCAGAAATAATGAGACCAGAACGGACTAGAAACATCCAGATTAGACTAGACGAGAAGATCCAGACCAGACTAGGTGTTATATTGACAAAATTTTGAGTGTGAGACCAGATTACCATATATAGTAAGCCAGAAACAGTTTGATAAGATCTGACCAAAGCAGAAAGTCAGAACAGAGTGCCAGAAAAGATCAGGTCGTGGAAAATCCAGAAATATTTATGCTATGGACATAAAGAAATTATACTCCCTCGGTCCCGAAATAAGGTTTCACAATTGACGGAGCACGATTATCAATAAGGGAAAACGTGGTTGGTACCCTGGTCTCTTCCTCAAACAAAAAATTGAAGTACGGAACGTTTTTTATGGAACCTTAAGGAAAAACCATACACTTCCTCAAGGGAAAGAGGGGCCTTTTTTTGTACAAACAAAAAAAATGAAGTATGGAACCTTTTTTATGGGACGGAAGGAGTACATGCATGAAAAATAAAATTTCTCACATGATCGCATGAAATGTTCATGTAATCACATGTCTCAGATTTCAAAGTATCAAATATATGATTCTTTTCAAGCCACCGTCAAGCTTCCATTGAGGAAATAGATATCTACTTAATAGTTACTACCAATTACGGTTGTATCAAGCTTAAGGAACAACCTTTCAGCTGGAGGATATAATTTGTTAACTCTAACATGTAACCAGAAGTCATATTCAATATTTTACTTGACTTGGATATTTATTTGTCAGATTAAGAAGCTAGATCCAGTTAGTAGAGCGGTGAGCACAATAGCAGGTACTGGTCATGCTGGTTTAAAGGACGGAGCATCTTCAACATCTCAGGTTGTAAAAATATTATTATCCCATTGTTTTCATCTGTAGATGTATATATGCATTTATTATCACACGCTCCAAATTTAGATGTCTGAAAAATAAGTCAATTTAATCATTTACTTGAGTCGCAAAGTTATAGGGTGACCGCGGTCTCTTGTTCTGTTAGACATCTTGGTTTTTTGGGGTACCCTGTTGTGTTATGTGGTTCAGAGTTTTATACAGGACTGTAATGAACCATCAAAGATATATCATAAACCATTCTCTTTTTGTCTCCGACTTTTTTCAGTCAAACTGGACAAACATTGATCATTATGTAAAGGAAAATGCTAGAGTCACAAACAAATAGTTCACAAACTTCACAAACTTGGCTTTTGTAGCTTTTAAATTAAATTATCTTTTATTATTTGGGTGCATTTAATTTCTAAGAAAATGTTAAAAAGGTAAGTTTGTGAATTTTGTGAGTTGTTTGTTTGTGACTCTAGCATTACTCTTATGTAAATAAGAATTGCATTCTATAATAACACGAAAAATGATTTCATTTTATAATTTTTTTTGTTAGATAAAATGGTCAAATGTTCACCTATGGCCGTGAACAGTCCACCTCAATGAATACACTAGAACCGTAGTCTGTATACAGTATTTCTATTATTGCAACTGAATAAAGATGGTAAGAGTAATTCAGATAATACACCATAAAGTAAAAAAGGTTCTTGTGTGGTGATTGACCCTATGTTATTTACTGTTCTAGATGAAGTAAGACTAAAGGTGGATCATTGTGTCTGCATATCCCAAACAAAGACATGTTCTCTTGGGTTAAAGTAGATATATTTGAGAATTGAGATGCCAGTTCATTTATTATTACTACTTATATTATTACTATTACTGTTGTTGTTGTTGTTGTTATTATTATTATTATTATTATTATTATTTTGCAGCTCTCAGAACCAGCTGGAATTGCTCAAGGAGAAAACGGTATCACTTTCATGTGGTTACACTCACTACTAATCTAAATAAAAATAAAAAACACATCCTGTATTTTATGGTTCAATGATTTTATCCAGGAAGATTATTCATAGCAGATACAAACAACAACCTTATCAGATATATAGAACTGAATGATAGAAATGCTGAACTTCATACCCTATCATTGAATGGAGTCCTGCCTCCTGCAACTAAATCCCGATCCTTGAAGAGACTTAGGAGACGATCTGGAGCTGACACACAGACCATTGTTGTTGATGGGAGTTATTCATCAAAGGAAGCTCTGTTACATCTTCAAATTTCTGTTCCCAAAGGTTACCATTTCTCAAAGGTTCTGTCACATTGCTCTTCCTCTCTTCCTACTAACTTCCTTCACTAAAGATGAAGGGCTGTAGTTGATTGCCCCCCCCCCCTTTCTTCCAACTTTCCAATTGTAGGAAGCACAAAGTAAGTTTAGCATTGAAGTGGAACCGGAGGATGCAGCTCTAATTGATCCTATGGATGGATTTCTCAGCACAAAAGGTTCTGCGACCGCATATGTTAGAAGATCTTCGAGTTCTCCTTCCATGGCAAGAATCAATTGCAAGGTAATTGCCTATTTCCAATTTACCATGAAACCATTTGTCAGCATTTAACGACATGCATACCATACATGCAAGAAATATAGGATTCTGGGTCCATCCTTCCCTTGTTTTATGGATTCGTTCGTGGGCCAGCAATATCGCCCACCGCAGGCATTAAGGAACTAAGAATGGACATGTTTTGCATAATTTTTAGTCTCCAAATAGCATTAGAGATGTCCTTTAATTATTTTCCTTACAAGAGCTGTATTATAATAGCTCTCTTTCCTTTGATGATTAGGAATCTTATATTAGCTATATTAGCGTCATCAGTTTCGAATAGTACATGCCCTTTGGAGAATAATCTTGTGTTCGTCAAGCGCAAAGCTAGCCAGTGTCTCCCTTCTTTGCCCTTGGAAAGAAGATTTGCTAATACACAAACCAACATAGCTCATAGATCCTCTCTTTTGATGCCTCATTGAACAACTAAATCCGGACAGAGGGAGTATGTTTTAAGAATATATCTTCAGAGTATAATCTTTATGGCAAGTGGCTGCCTCAAGCCTACGGAAACCCTCCTTTACTGGGTTGTTTTAGCGAATTACTGAATGTGATCCTTCTCTTAGTTCATGTAGCCCTACTTGACAATTAGCTGAAGCTCAAATTTTTTTTCAGGTCTTCTACTGTAAAGATGATGATGTTTGCTTATATCAATCCCTTGCCTTTGAAATACCATTTGGAGAGATGAATCCTGACTCCTCACCCGCCGAGATCTCACTTCCATATCTTGTAAAACCAAAGGTGTCCACCTTATGATCAGAAGCATGTGAGTTGCATCACATAGTACTCTCCTTTCTTTGCAGGTATGTAAACCTAACAAATATTTTGTGCATTCAGCGATATTATTATTAGTATTTGTTTTCATTTATTTTGCCAGTGAGGTTGAACTTACCTTGCTTGTTTGGATAGGAATGCAAAAGAAAAAGATAGAGAAAACTGGAATAGAGAGAGGTGAAACAACTCTTTTCACACTTCTGTCCCCGTTCGGAGAAAAAAAATGGTCGGTCTAAAAAATATTGTCACTGTATAATCTTCATTTATCTCCTCTCAACCAACCTATTTTGATACAAGGGCTATAGTAGAAATGTTCTTATAGACACTTCAATTTGGAGAAACTTTATGCGCTTATTGCTACCGTTACGCACTGGTGAACAAGATCTTATATTATACGTTTCGGTAAATGTAATTGTGGACCTAAGGTCGACTTGAATTTGTCTCCCACAGTCCCACGTATTCCTTAAGCTTCACCCATGGGTTTTTTTTCGGAACTGGATTTTCTAGTCTCCCACAAATAAAACAAGTCAATGTAGGGAGTGCAAAATTTATAGCAACATCAATATCCATATTCCGAGACGACTCAGACTGACCAAATGTTCACTGAAAGCAATAAGCTATACGTACATATTACTGAACTAAGCAACAACTCAAAATTTTCAATCTCGTTCAATGAAAAGGATTCAGCCTCACCTTGTCTTTGGATCCTCGAAAAAGGCACCACCTTTTTTGCTCATTATATATATATATATATATATATATATATATATATATATATATATATATATATATATATATATATATATATATATATATATATATAATGAGCAAATAAAGTAATTAAAGTTTGATTAGTAAATAGGAAACACCCAACTTAAGTTGGGATGGAGGGAGTAACGTATAAGTTGTTCATAAAAGTATTTGTTGTAAAGTGTCTTATCTAAATTTAAAGGTTAGTGATAGTTTTGTACTCTGCTTATCTAAACTTAAATTGCATGTTTCAGTTTACGATGTTTGATTGAATTTATTTTGAATTTACTTTATTTAAAAATTGAGGTGGAATTAAAAATACAGAAGAATTTATATTTTTAAAAATTACATGAAATTTTTTTACGAAATATGAGATAACATGATTATATTATTTTATTAAATGAGTAATAAAAATAGGTAAAAAGAAAATGAATAAACAATTACTATGTGAATAGTAAATATCTACTTTAAGTTGGGATAGATGGAGTAAGTGATTTGGCCAAATAGAGATAAAAAAGTGGATTTGAAATAAGTAGGTAATACTAGCTTATTTTTGCATGCTTCCATTTAGAGGGCTTAAGCCTATTCCGCTTAGAGGTGGCAATCGGATCGGTTCTGATTTGGAATATTTTTGTTTGGATATTTTTTGAATATATGTTATAACTATATAATCATATCGGTTCAGTTTTATTTCGGTTCGGTTGTAATTTGGTTCCTTACATTTTCCGGTTCCGGTTTGGTCATGAATCGGTTCAGATACTATTCAGATATCAATTGATTCGAATCGATTTTGATTTTGGATACATTCTGGTTCAAGTATATTTCGGTTCAAATATATTTCGATTCGAGCATATTTCATTTTCAAATATATTTGCATATATATTATTTTTGAATTAATGTTTAACTACATGTTTATTTTTTTTGTAATATCGCATTTATCAATCTATCATCAATTCATTACCTCATATTAATTAATATTATTTTCTAATGATACTCCCTTCATCCCAAATATCTTCTATTTTTATCTTTTAGTCATATTTTATAAATTTAGATTACGAATTATGAAAAAAATATTTAGTTCTGATATAAATTAATATAATTGGATTGTCAATTTACATACAATTTGGTTAAAATATGTTGAAATTGTGTGAAATTGAATGCAATAAGGTAAAATTTGAGTGAAATTAAATGCAATTCAAAGTACATGTTTGGCCAACCACACAATATTGAGAGATTAAAAAAATATCTTTTTAACCGTGTTTTAGTTTGTATAAATTTTAGCTAAATTTTTTTATGCTTGTATTGTTCATTTCTATACCCATTTATACATAAAACAAATTTAAAAGATATGATTTTTTTCACTTTGTTTTAATATGATAATTTATTTTCGAACGCAGCAAGTAATAGAAGTATATAACTAGTTCAAATGATAAAAAAAAGTAAAAATTTGAAATCACAGGAATGCAATTGTTCTTTAATGTACATAAATATAATATGTTTATTGTCAGGCAAAATCAACTTCGGATGTATCCGATTTCGGATCTAATCGGTTTCGAGTCTTATTGATTTCAGGTCTTATTGGTTTCAGATTTAATCAATTTCGGATCTAATTAGTTTCAGATCTAATTGGTTTTAGATTTAAATCGGGTATGGATATATTTAGTCCAGTTTCTATTCAATTCTGATCATTTCGATAATTCAATTATAAATTCGATCTTCACTTTTCAGGTCATTTCAGTTTTAATTTTGGATCATTCAATTCAGATAATCAGTTCCGATTCTGTTTTGTCGGGTCTAATTCCGCTCCGTAGTTGTTCTTTTTGGTCTACAGAACTGCAGACAAGAGACATTGTTTGCCAAACTCGAAACTTTGGCTGTTAATTCCTAAACTTTACAATGTTGTTTAAACAAGTTTACTGCATGTGTGCTAAAGCAATTCATAAATATTGTACAAACAAGTTTACTCACGGTAATTCCTCTTTCATCATTTTTCAGTGTCATGTTTCATCATCTGCCATCACAGCATCCACATCATCCATTTATTTCTTTGCTCTCTTCATTTTTACCAATTTGCACATGTATATTTTTGCGACTAGCGATTATAATGCTTCAAATTTCCTAAAAATAATGTGAAATTACATTACACATACCTCTTTATCATTGTGTTTCGATTCAAGAAAGTTTTTCGATCCAACATCCACCTGAGATAGTATCTCTGCATCTTTCGTTCGGTAGAATATGTTCAAACTCTTTCACCCGATAACCCAATATGTGTGCCCTCTTTCACATGACTATCCAACTTCACAACTTCTTAAGTATCTGACCATGTTCTACTTTGCAGCTTTTAAATTTCTCCGATTTCATTCTCAATGGCAGTATACTTACCTTTACGATACTTTTCATTTCTAGGAATGCTTCCTCTCCTTGGCATTGAGCCCTTCATTTGGAGACATATCTAGTGCCTTAGCCTTAGCCTTACCACTCCACTTTTCTTTTTTTTTTTTTCATTTTTAAGGTGATATTCCTTTCTTCTTCTTTGAGCTTCCTAGTGACAACTTTCTTGCTATAGCCTATAGATGGCCTTGAATGTTGACACCAGTGCCACCTTTTTGTGTGGTACGAGCAATGGTCTTTGATCTGTTGGACGCAGCCATCACCACATGTTCATTTACACCACACAATGATCCTGAAGCTCCTTCGCAATAGGAATGATTTATGTTACCTCAAACTGTGAAAAACAGAAAATTATACATATAAAATTAGTATTCTAAAAAAACATAGTACAATTAATTTCATAATATATGTATCTTACCTCAATATTTTTCTCTGCTAACACACTTTTCACTCTACAAATAGTTTCATGCACACTACAATAGTTGTTCACTCTCCCGTCCTTAGGTTGTAGATCCTTCTTAACAAACTTTCTTTTTACCTGTACATTACATATATTCTAAAACTCATGCACTATGCAATTACCTTTTTAGGCATTATCACCATTATGCAACAATGTAACACGTAAATCCAATTTAGAGTTCTTTGTATACTTCCTAATTATGTAGATGTCATAGGTAACACAAGTGGATACCACTCAATGCACATGGCCAAATGAAACACAAGTATGGAAAATAATTAGCCTCATAGTGCCACGTGAACATTTTTTCTGAGCTTTTCTCACATGTACACATGCATACAATACTACATTCAAATCATATAATACCAAATGTCCACAAGTACTCATTAAAACCGTTGAATTTGAAACACATATTTTCACAATAAGTGGAAAATAAATCTGTCTATTCACATTCCCAAATACTCAGTACATAGAATATTTAATGCATAGAAGAAAACGAAAACCAAACATGTTCACAGTGCCACCTTATGCACCACCAGTTACTACGTCTTAAACCCTAGTGAAAACCTTTTAAAGTGGTGCGGTGCTATATGTTTCACTACTTTATTTGAAGGATCTTGTTCACAAAGCCACAATATGATACTAACATTAACATGTGCATCTAAACACACAAAATAAAACTGTGATTCATAAAATGCCACAATATGACTCTAACGTTAACGCATACATCTAAACATACAAAATATAGCTTTGATTCATATAATGCAACAATATGACTCTAACATTAGCACAAACATCTAAAAAATACAAAATATAGCTTCATTTCATAGAATGTCAATACGACTCTAACGTTAGCACATACATCTAATTATACAAAATATAGCTTTGATTCACACCTATTTACACATGCATAGAAAATCTGATGGTCAAATCTAAATCCATGGTGCAATTTTTCACCCTATGACCATTCTTCTCTAAAATTAACCCAACAATTGAAGAATTTGTAGTATTTTGAAAGCACGAATGAATTCAACATTACATACCTTATTGTTGTTTGCTTTTATCATTTCCTTCTAATGTGGCATCTCATCTTCAAAATTATCATCGGCCATTGTCTCACCAATTGAACCGCAATCTTCTTCTTCTTGTGCTCGGACCACAATCTTCTTTGGAATTGACCTCTCGCTTTAAACAACATCGCTTATTTCTATCTCCAGCTCAGAATTTGGTTGTTTGGTCTAATCTAGAAGCTCGAAGATTTTGGCTGCGCAAAAGCGAATATCAAGTGTGAGCATTTAGTGCGAGCGCAAATATTAGGTTTGTGTAATGATGAATGCGGGTTACCGTGGCGTGCGTGTGAAGCCATGGGTATTTTGGGGTTGTCGTAGCTAAATTTCTCCTATATAAGGGAGTTTAAGTTTGGACTCCTATTTAGGTATATTTTCTACAGAGTATGTTTTAGTCCTATCTAGGTTTTTCCATTCTTTCAACTCCTTTCAGTTTCTTCCAATTCCTTCCCATTTCTTCTGACTCCTTCCAGTTTCTTCAAACATCCAATTCTGAAATTCCTATCCAAAAAACATGCCCAAAGTTTGTAGTATAAAAGGTACACATTTTGTCGGTGCTTCCTTGTGGCATGAGAATTACGAAGGCGCACAAATTGTGTGAAATTGATTGTATATTTGAGTAGTTGGGGGGCTTAATCATTTACGAGGTAAAAGTAAAGACATAACTTAAGCAATATTTGAAAATGTGATAAAGAAAAAATAACTTTTGACCAATTTATCTTCTTTAGTCTTTATAGCCTGTGTTTTGTCTTCCATTTACTCCAAAGTGCTTGTGGCATGGGAATTACGAAGGCACACTAATTGTGTGAAATTCATTGTATATTTGAGACGATGGGGGCTTAATTATTTACGAGGTACAAGTAAAGACATAACTTAGGCAATATTTGAAAATGTGATAAAGAAAAATTAACTTTCGACCACTTTATCTTCCTTAGTCTTTACAACCTGTGTTTTGTCTTCCATTTACTCCAAAATGTTGTGCTCCTTATTATGTTACAGTGTGGGAGGTCTTTATTGAAAGATTAGCCAAAGATATTAGTAAATCAACTTCAAATAGTCCACCGTTTAAGAATACTATTCTACTTCCCATTGACTATATTTTCATTGATTAAGTCCTCATTTTATTATATACTCCCTCCGTCCCGGAGTATTCGTCAAGTTTTGACTTTCGGAACTGTTCATCTAAGCACTTTGACTCATCAAATTCTCTCAATGTGTAAGCCTAAATATAGTCATGTGTGATCTTGTTTGATTTGTCTTAACATATAGATTATTAATATATAATTTCTATATTTTTTTAATATACAAATTACAAGATAAAATAGATTAAAAAAGTGTATTGGATGGTGTGTAAAAATGAAAGTGGACAAATACTCTGGGACGGAGGTAGTACTACGTAAGATTTACTACGTATTTGGTAAGGAATTAGCAAACATAATGTGCTAGGTAATGGTGGGTTCAGCCTTAGGGTGTGTTCGGGCAAGACGTGTGGGGGTTCATTGCGTGGAGCCTAGCCCGGGGATATCAGCGGAAGCCTCCAAGAGTTAATATCATCAAAGCTATACTTACAAGATCTTTGGTCTGGCATTAAACCTTCAAACATGGGAACACATTTTCGCCATTTGATATCCATTTTGACGAAAGAGATGCATTTGGAATTACTTTTCTTCCATCTTCTCCATGGTTATCACAGTGTCGCCTTGGCGTTCAGGCGCCCTCCTGCTCTCGCCATGATGAATCGCCTCGTCTAATCTTCACTTCCTCGCCTAGGCATCCCTTTTCGGATGACTTGGCATCCTGGCGCAGTGTCGTGGACAATTAACGCCGTGATTTTATACTCTTTTTCTTTAAAAAAGTCATTGCAAACGCAAAACTCATAAATTAAAACCCTACCTCGTTCCGTCATCCTGCCACGGTCATCTTGCAATTGCCTAGCTCCTCCAGCATCTCCTCTACATGTTACCGGCTGATTTCATTGTCCCACACCGGTCAAATGGGGGACTTGGTGATGGGTTTATATATCTTGGGGTTCTCCCACCTTAATAGCTAGCTTTCGGAGTGTGGCTCTCCCTAGTGTTGTACCAGTGGTATCAAAGCTAACTCGGAGTGATGGCCTACAGAGTGGTGGCCTGGTGAAACCACCCTTGACCAACATAACCATGACCAACAAGGAGGTTGGCCCTTAAGGAGGGCCAAATGTTACGAGCTGATTTCATTGTCCCACACCACGCAAATCGAGGACTTGGTAATGGATTTATATAGCCTGAGGTTCTCCCACCTTAATAGCTAGCTTTTGTGGTGTGACTCTCCCTAGTGTTGTATCACTATGCGTCTACGCTTGCCGCTGCTCAGTAAGTAGTTTCTCTCTCCTCTGGTGCTTTATTGTTACATAATTTCTCTCATGTGCATGTTAAACTTTGTCATATTCAATATTTAAACTTTATCAACTACAACCTATAATGTGATATAATTATATTAGTATTATCAATGCATAACAATTCTCATGTACTACTTGTTGCCTAATTGTCTCCTAGGCACCTAGGCGTCATGGCGGCACACTGGCACCGCACCCCGCCTTGGCAGCGTGATAACTATGTTCTCCACTGGAGCGAAATATTTGCTCTTATTTGGCTTTGGAGTAAGATGGAATAAAGGAGATTCCACTTACAAAGGAAGAAAGTAAGTCTTGGAAAAACTTTTCGAGGATAGAGCAATAACCCAACTACGGTCACTCCAAAAAAGATCCAACTCAACCTGTAATAGTAAAAGAAACGTTTCTATGACGCATTACTCTAATCACATATATCCGAGGCAACTTAAAATCATGTGGGGAAAACCATTGTATAAACCTGTTAGGGAATTATGGAGGCACAAAAGTTGTGAATCTTGTAGACAGTACTCCTTATTTTCAATCTGAGAACCTGTAAGACTATTCAATATGATGTCAAGCACTAAATCTGATTTTTCTAAACATATTTGTGAACACAAAAAAAAAAGGATTTGTAAACATACCAGATAGATACGGAGGTTGAATTGGCAATTGCTGCAAAAGTTCTGATAATATTTAAGATGTGGTATGTGAACAGCAGTCGCACGACTCGCAATACATGGATTCGTCTTCTCATCATTGTCATTGTTGTCATTATTAGCACCTTGATTCCAGCTCGGGTCGGTCACACTAAATTTATAGTGAAAACCTAATTATAAAAATGGTTCACACAATAAATCCATGAAAAAACATAGAGCCATTGTTTTATGTCCGAGTGCCCTCTGTGTCCCAACCTTCACATGCATGGAAAATATCATGAGGGGTCAATGAGTTGAGATATTTGCTATTGTCATATTCCATTACAAGATTGATATCGTAGAACAAATATCAAATCATGGAATATGACAATGAATAAATGTACTCCATATGAAGTATTTTAAATGATTTCTAGAGACTTACTACTTGGATAAGGTTTCAGGTTTTATATGCTACCATTGGAAACAGATAGATTTAAACCACACTTGGAGTTATAAAAATCGTACAATCTCCATTCTTTAAAAGATTGATGCCACTATGACATCTTGGGCAATGTCCAGTAACCCAAAAGCTTTTCTTGCCTTGTCATATATCAGCTAGTATGGTGGCTTTGCAAGATAACAGGCCGCGACAAGGTTGAAACACAGTATTAGACATCTTGTCTTGATATAAATATAAGTAGAAGATAAAGCAGATATTAAGATTTTCTCCCATTACCAAAGAATAAAAAACATAGAGACTTATGAAGGAATCAATAAGAAATCAGCTAGGATGATGACTCTGCATCCCAAAATCACATCATGAAGCTAACGTGCAACTTATAAAGTACCCCGGAGTAGTTTTTATTAGCATGTTAGTGATCAGCTGAAATCTAGAAACAATAATGTTCAATAGCAACAACAGCAATCCAGAAACAATAATGTTCAACAGCAAGTCAATAAAAAATAGCAAGTCAATGCTCATTGACATATTGTAACCTATCCTTCATAAAGATTGACCTCATGCCAAAGCTACAACATCTCAAAATGCTTCATTAGGCTGTCGAGGAATATATAAACAAACATTCACATACCTGTGTAGGCCGCTAGTGTTAGTAAGCTCCGAAATTAGACGCTCAGATTTTGAATAACTCCATGGTCTGTATGTTACCACATTATAGAATATAGATAGTCCCTCAATGTCATGGAGCACCATTTTCAAAGATGTGGGATCATCTAGATTTGAGCACAGCTGTCTGAAACTTCTACAATGGTATCCAAGTGATACGACGGAAGATCCTGGACAATTTGAAGCTCAAATCTCTTCAACGAGCAAATTCCTGTTCATTCCACATGGCCTTTGATTTTATACTGCTAAGACGCAGAAGGATGTCCTCATATTCCAATGCAATGGAAGAATGCTATAAGTACAAACAAAAAGTAGGCATCATCACACATAGTTTCACTTTCTTCATATGTCAATTGTTTATGCCTTGTAGAGAGAACACTTGACTGTAGAAGAATAGAAACTAAGGACTAATCATTGAGCTTTTGAAATTGTTTTTAATCAAGAGGAGATCAACCAGCCTGTATAGAGAACATACGATTAACCAAGATGAAGACAAGCTGTATCCGTCATCTGTGAAGTTAAGCTCTTTAGTGCATTGCGAATCTCCATTTTTTGTGCACTCGAGTCATCATGTGCAAGAAACACAATTAACTTAGTTTTTTCTTCAAACCAACTACACCCTGGTTGTTTCTCTCCTCTATTATCTATCATTGTTGACCTAACATGTTCCGCCTCAATCCAACTTCCTATCTCAGCATACATGTTTGCAACAGACACCAAATTTGAAGCTTTATGAGGTTCAATTTTATTGAGCTTCTTAAAAGAAAAGCTAGCAAGCTCAAAATTGTTATGCATTTGGCAAGCCCACAGTATAGAGGCCCATATTCCTGGGGAGATTTTCACTCTCATTTTTCTAACCAACTGAAAGGCTTCTTTTAACCTGCCTGCTCGACCAAGCATGTGAATCATGCAAGAAAAATGTTCAGTCACTGGCTCGATAGAATACTTTTTACTCATGGAGTCAAATAAATGTACACCAAAATCAATTAAGCCGGCATGATTACACGCAGATAGAAGTCCAACAAATGTTACTTCATCGGGATTCATCCCCTTACTTTCCATATCCTGGAAAAGTTTGACTGCTTCTTTTCCATATCCGTTTAAAGCATAGCCAGCAATCAAAGAATTCCAAGACACGACATCTGCATAGTCAAGATCATGGAACACCTTTTTCGCATTAAAGATGTGTCCACATTTTGCATACATTGTAATTAAGGCATTAGAAATGGATACATATTTTGCAAACCCACTTCTCATGATTGCTTGGTGAAATTGCCTCCCAAGATATTCAAGAGAAAGATTAGCGCATGAACTTAATACCGAAGAAAATGTAGACTGATCCGGTTTCTTGCCGTCGTGTTCCATTGAAACAAACAACTTGAGAGCATCTACATACAAACCATTTCGTGTACAACCTGAAATTAGAGAGTTCCAAGAAACAACATTCCTTTCCTTCATGTTCTCTAACATCTCTAAAGCCTTTTCTATCTTTCCCACTTGAGCATACCCAGCAATCATGGTGTTCCAAATAACAACACTCTTTTGATCCATCTTCTGAAATAGATGGAAAGCTTCTTCCATCATCCCACATTGAGTGTAGCCTGCAAGCATTGTGTTCCAACAAGCAATGTCTCGAGAGCTCATCTGATCAAAGATTTTACGACCTTCATCTATCATGTTATGTTGTATATATCCTGAAATCATCGCTGTTTGAGCACACACATTTTTGCATGGCATAGTATCTAACAATCTATTTGCTGTGTCAAGCTTTCCTATGCGCACAAACCCATTAATCATGGTAGTATAAGAAACTGCATTTCTCTCTGGCATTTCATTAAAAAAAATGCAAGCATCATCAATATGGCCATTCTGGACATAGGCAGCCAGCATTGCATTCCATGCAACCAAATTTTTTTCTGTCATTTTCTCAAATACCCTCCGAGCATCCGATATATAACCATAATGCGCATATCCACTCAACATCGTGACCCATGAAACTGCATTTGGACAAGGAATCTTTTCAAAGAACTCCCGTGCAGAATCCAAGTCACCCACCTCAACAAATCCACCCACCATTAGGTTCCATGAAACAACATCCTTCTCGCCCATCTCATTGAAAAACTTCAACCCCATTTCCATTTCCCCATTGTGAGTATAACCCAAAAGCATTGAATTCCACGACACTAAATTCCTAATAGGCATCCTATCAAACAATTTCTTCGCTTCACTCAACCTCCCGTTCTTCACAAAACCTGTAATCATTGCATTCCAACAAGCAACGTTGGTCGCATCAGGAAGTCGATAAAAAATGTCCATTGCCTTATCAATCGCTCCATAACGCGAATAGCAAGTTATCATCAATGCATATGTGAAATGGTCCCGCAGAGGCATTCTCTCGAACAGCTCACGGGCACACTCAATCCGGTCATTGTAAATGTACCCATTGAGCAGTGTGTTCCAAGAAACCAAGTTCCTGTTCGGCATATTATCAAACAGAAGACGGGCGTGCTCTAATCTGCCATTTTTCGCGTATGAAGAAATCATGGAGTTGTAGGTGAAGGTGTTGGGGTGAGTTATTTCCCTGAACACTCTAATGGCCTCTTCGATTTGGCCCCTTTTTCCATATTCGATTATCTTTTTGTTCAGCTTGACAATGTTGGGTCTTCTGTGTAGGGTTGAGTGCATCGTTTACAAAGGCTGGATGATGATCAACCCGCTGCTTCTAGCTAGCAAGACTGCAAGGGCAAGTAAGGCAACCTCAGGGCAGATCCAAGATTAAGAGCAAAAGATGTCAAATATTTGGGAGGGCAGATCCAAGTAAGGCCCTCTACTTGTGTGAAACGAGGAGAAATGACAAAAAGGCCCTTCCAACCAAGAAACAAAACGTCACTGTTTATGACCGTTACTTCAAAAATTAAACGGAAATATTAAAATTAACGACCAGCCGTTGGGTTGCCTTCGAAGCGTCACGATGATTTTCGGAAAGGCCAAACGGCGTCGTTTGAAGCGCCAACCCCTCCTTAATCCCCCGACCAGTCTTCGCCTCTTCGGAAACGATACGCCTTCATCAATCGAAACTCTTCTTCTCTTCGTCGGATACCTTCAAGAACTACCACACATCTGTTTGCCATGGAGAACACCGGAGCAAGTTGCGGGTTCCAGTACAAGAGAAGAAGAACTCTCACCCAAACACGAAGGGAGGAGATGGAGAATGAAAACCAGGTATTTTCAAATAATCCTCACTTAAAATTAACTAATTTTGGTTTTATTTTGAACTGTTTGGGATTGGTGTCATATTTCTGCTAAGGTAACTCCATCTGTGGAGGGTGAATCGTCCCCGGATGCTTCGGAAATTGAGGTGCATTGCATGTACACTAAAATATAACATTTAAAGTTTATTTTGTTTGTTTTTGAAACATTCGGAAACAGAACAAGTTATTCGACCATGGAAATAATCAATATAATGTTACAGTAATTGGTTACACTCGAATGCAATCGAAAATATTTTTTGATTAGTTCTTGATTTTAATTCTAGGTTCCAGCATTGGATTGCACCATTGATATTGATAAAATACCTGGAATGAAGTTAACCCTGAAATCTTCTTTGAGGGAGTTCCAGAATCTGATGAGCGAAGGACTTGGAGATCATCTAGAAGTCCTTGCTTTGTTTAGGGAGAACACCCCTTTTTCTCATTTTTTGGATGTTGACTGTATTCCTCCTCCTCTGTTCCTATGGCAACTCATTGCGAGGGAAGCCAAAATAATTAAAGAGGAAAGGAGAGATGTGGTTTGTTGTCAAAGGAGTTCTTGTCAGGTACTCCTTGAGGAAGTTTTCACTCATAAGCGGCCTCAACTGCTATCACCTTAACGCCGGCTTTGAAAATTCAAAGGAATTAACCTCTGCAAAGAATGATTTCATTCGAGCTCACTTTCCTTTTGCAAAGAAGGGAAAGAAATCTGTTGCAGTCACATACAAGATGGTTGTGCAACGTTTCTTGGACATTTGTAAAGGCTTGGACAGGGAAAAGAAGAAAGAAGGCCAGGAGATGGATGCTGTGAAAATGGCAACACTATTGTTTGATGTTGTTGTTCTCTTGGGTCCTGCTGATCGGGACAAGTCTGCAATTCCAGATTGAATTCTGGGCATGATTGCATAGTGAACAGCAGTTCTAGATTTCCCATGGGGAACCTAGGCATTTATGGAGTTCTTGGGGTCACTGAGGAAAGACCTAGCTGGTAAGGCCAAATCAATTGGAAAAGGGGCCTCATCAACCATGTTCTATACTTGTTTCTTGCTTCCCATTGGGGTAAGGATTTTTTTAATTATAATATTTCTTATAATTTTTATTGAAATGTGATCTCATTCAAACTTTCAATATGAAAAGATCCTTTCCTGGAGAGTTGCTTGGGGACTGGAACAAATATTACAACAAGAAGCCCACATACATCCCCAGCTAGGCCAAGAATTTGCCTTTGGGGTGAAATTCCTATAAAGAAGAAAATCACCCACACAGAAATGGATGCTTACGTTGGGGACGTGCAGGTATATACATATTATTGGTCAATAAAGATTAAAAATTTAAGGAATTCCAAAAATAAAGTGTCATTGTTTTGGTTGCAGACTCTATAGAGCATTCTTGTTCCCGACAAGTTTGAGGCTACTACAGAGTGGTATTTGAACATCCATCCTCTAGAGACCAATGTTTTGAAAACCGGACCGGACGTCGACTTGGACGAGGTAGTGGGTCAAGGGTTGACCGGTTGAACCGGGGGTCAATGACCCGGTCAACTATGTTTATAATAATAATATTTTATGATATATTAGATATTTTTAGTTAATAAAATATTTTAATTTATGTTATTATTTCTCCATCTCTTTTTTAATATCCTTATACATATGATATTTCACACCTTCGGTTTTTATTTTATTATTTTTATTATTATGAAAAGTTAATACTCAATCTCTAACAAATACTTAAATAATAAGGCGATACTCATATTTTCTAAAATTAAAGACTATATATTTTATTCTTATATACATATGACATTTTAAAGTTAATATTTAGTTGATTAAAATGATTGAAAATAAAAAATATAGCATATTAAATTATACTCCGTAATTAATAATATTACTTAATTTTTGAAGACAACAATTTTTTAAATATAAAATATACAGAGTATATTTATTTTCAAATAAAAATTAAATTATTCTCAATTTTTAAAACTATTTTAAAAGTTCATAAATACAAATAATTCACACTTGCACAAAAAACTACATACTAGTATTAATTTTGTATGAACCTTTTGTAAAACCATAAATNAATCTCTAACAAATACTTAAATAATAAGGCGATACTCATATTTTCTAAAATTAAAGACTATATATTTTATTCTTATATACATATGACATTTTAAAGTTAATATTTAGTTGATTAAAATGATTGAAAATAAAAAATATAGCATATTAAATTATACTCCGTAATTAATAATATTACTTAATTTTTGAAGACAACAATTTTTTAAATATAAAATATACAGAGTATATTTATTTTCAAATAAAAATTAAATTATTCTCAATTTTTAAAACTATTTTAAAAGTTCATAAATACAAATAATTCACACTTGCACAAAAAACTACATACTAGTATTAATTTTGTATGAACCTTTTGTAAAACCATAAATACATATGATTGATACATAGATTTTGAACAAAGATTGAGTAGCTCGCTTGGTTGTCAACTTGTACTAGTATACGGGAGGTGCTGGGGTCGATTCCCAGCCACCACTTTTAATTTTTATGTCTAAAAATTTAATAAAATGTAGATTTAAGCCCAAACCCGGGAACCGGACGGGTGGACCCGGGTCACCTGGTTCTCCGGGTCCGACGGGTTTGGGCGGGTCAAAAGGGAGCCGGGTTTCTTCAGTGAACCGGACCGGATTTGTTGCCGGTTCGCGGGTCGACCGGTTGGACCGGCCGGTCCGGTCCGGTCTTCAAAACACTGCTAGAGACCACAGCACACCCTGAGTTGGATGCATTTGTGGCAAAATTAGAGGGTAGAGGGGAAGTCCACATTCCGGTGGAGAGGAAGAGAAAAGCCCGGAATGTTTCCTTCACCAACAAGAGATAATTCTATAGAGCGTAATGAGCACATCTCCTCTCCCCAAGCATCTCAGAGGAGTCAGAGACTTAGGGAATCTCCTTCTAGAGTCTCCCATTCCAACATCCCAACTCCATCGTCTCCTACCCCTCACCCCACCAAGCCTTCATCTAATTCCTTTCAAGAACTCTTTGATCGAATGTCAAAGAAAATTGATGACATTGCAGAAGAACAACGAAAGAGGTTTGAAGTGCTGGAAAAAAAGTTGATGCTTTGTCAACTTTAATAAATCAAAAGATTGTGAATAAGGTATGTCGAAGCTTTTGAAAGGTCATCCAATAATTTTAATTAATCACAACTGATCTATTTTTATGTAAAAATATGAAGGTGAATGTACCTGAATCAGGAGAAGAACCAATAAAGACTCCGCTGGAGGTAAGTCGAAAACCGTCGAATATATACGAAGCAATCGAATATATACGAAATGTTCGAAGTTTCTCGAATACAGTCGAAACGTTTTGTTCAGTTTTAAATCTGTAAGATCTTTTAACGTTCAGGTGCCAGCGACGACAATCATGGATGATTGTGAAGAGACTGAGGCACGCAATCCTTCACCTAATGATAAGGTTTAGGGTTTAATGCAGTCATTTCATTTTGTTTGCATATGTTAAATGAAATCATAAAATCATTTCATACTTCATTCTCATCATTTTCATATTTCATACTCTATAGGTTTCTCCAAGACTCGGTATTCTCCAAATTCTTGGGGAAATAAATCAAGAGCATGAGAATCCACCTTCAACTCTTTCTGATTCTGTTCTAAGTTTGGAGAACATAATGGTAAAGTTCTAATATTAACTTATAGCTGCATTGTCCTTTCGAAAATGTTCTAACCACAAATTTTTCGGTATATATTAAAAAAATAAAATCTATCAATGATAGGATGCTCAGTGACATCAATCTAAGCGGACGCCAACAACGATTCTTCCTCCGGGATCCACTTTTAAATGGACGGTACCGCCTCGGTCATCGGCTTGTCACTTTTCGATTTGTGAATCTTCCAGCGTGCACTTGGTTCCTGTTTAGTCTCCGGAACCTACTCCGGGTCCTGGAGATTCACCGAGGTTTGTGTATCATATATCGACGGGTTACAGCGTATGATTGGAAAATCCACATCGCTTCCTCGTTTGGCTCGAGACTGGACGAAAGAACGTTATAACCGAAGAGATTCCTATTAAAAATAAAAACATATACTTGAACAATTTTTTTTAGAAAGAAGAGAGAGAGATTTGTATTTGTAGTGTGTATTGAATTTTTAAGAAATAGATGGAACATATAGAAGAGAGAATTTTTTTTCAATGTCAGCAGCATTATAGGCTTATAGCCGTTGTGGAGGGAGAGGGGAGGGTTACAACTAGGGCTGGACACGGTACCGGTGCGGTACCGTCACCGGAAACGGTACCGCCGGTACCGAGCACCGTAACGGCTACCGGGACGGCGAAACGGTTCCGAGAACCGGCACCGGTACCGCCACATCCGGTCTCGGTTCCGGTGCCCCAAATTCGTTACCGGCTATTTTTTTTTCCTTTCTTTCTCCTCTTTTGCTCTCCAACGGAAACTTTCACAA